GCTCAAATGTTTCATCCCAATTGATTCCTGCTTTTTCTAATAATTTAAAAATCAAATTGGGTTTCCCCCGGGTCTGCCAGGGTTGAGATAGTGGGGTTCTTAATGACGAGCTTATTTTTACTTCAAGTGCCTCTCTTCTGCTCTGAACCCAGAGAATAGAGGACAGAAATTAGCTCTGAAGTAATCTAAAACAAAGCCCTGCTGCGAGTCCTACTTTGTTGAAATTCAATAAGTGCTAATGAATTAAATAATTACAAACAGAACCTTTTAAATTGCAGATGATTAGAGGATTTCAATCTTTAGAAGACAGATATTTGTTCGTGAGTGGACATTTTGAAAGTGAATTCCTAATTGTTTTTGAAGTGACATTAGAGAAGGGCTATTCAACAACCATCACCTCCTAATAAAATGTACTGAAATTGGTTTTAAAATTAGTTCTGAAGGAAAACAACAACTTGGAGTTGCAACTAGTTAGCTTAACAGTAACTCGATTGCCTTCACTCTTAGATAATTCACTCTAAAAAGAGCAAAAAGTGAACTGTGAAGAATATTTTCACTGGTGAATTGTAATTAGCTTGACTTGTAAGCACTGACTTGTAATGCTGATTGGTGCTTGGAGGCTCAGTTCATTGCAGACTTGATAGTGGTGGGATGTCAAGATGACGACAAACTAAAAAAGTTGTACGGTCTTTTTAGGCGAAGTGAAATCAGGATCCAATATTCATCTATGGTTGCATAATATTGCATATGGCAGAAAACGTCCTCATTAACCAACATCATTTTACGTTGATAAGGAATGAAGTTATAAATGTTTTGTTCAAACCTTGTAAAGGATGTTGTGTCCAAGCTCATGAGTGTGAGCTTCCACAAGATGTGTTCACCTTAAGGGTTGTGACTGAGCATTTTTAAAATGCAGAAATGAAGTAGTCTCCTCACTGTGATAATGATGAATAAATCTGTCATATATTTAAAGATGAACTTAACACCCACCCCAGTCTGTTTTTCTATATATTTTTTTAATTTTTGGGGGATTTGAGCATTAATTAAGGAGGCTGCACTCTCTTTAACCCGCACCCCACCCCAATTTATTTATATATTTTTTATTTAAACAAACTCAGAGATTGTGGCTCTTGGAGAAAGTTTGTTGTTCAGTAGGGGAAGAATCAGATGAGACTTATCGTAATCATCTGCTTTAATTTTTTTGAGTGACTCAGTGTAAACATGATTTGCCTCTCGATTGAATAATATATAAATATATAAATACTGGGAAGACTTTCCTGTTGTCCTTTTGTCCATTAACCCCCTGTATTCATGCCTCTCTGCTGAAGCGTGTTGAAGTGCAGCACAGCCTGCTCCGAGCTCTGCCACGCTCTCGTTGTCTCTCTGTCTCCCCCTCCCCTTCGTCCCCCTTCCTCAGCCTAAGCTCAGTGGCTGCAAGAATGACTTGTCAAGCTTTTTTCTCAGCTCTCTCCCTAAACTGTGTTTGCTTGTTTGATTCACATGTCCTCTTCTCTCCCTCTTTCTTCCACACACTCACTCTCGATCTCACTATTTTTTTCTCCCCCTCTTGCTTACTTCCACTCTGCAACGGCTACATGCACTGTCCTTTAACCTCTGTCTGTTCTCTCTCTCTCTCTCTGTTTTTTTTTTTACTTGAATGCTTCTCCTTTCTTCCTCTTTCTTTCTTTACTTGGCTGTTGCTTTTCCTTTTCTCCTTCTCCTTCTCCTCTCTTGCCTTGGCTGTTGCTCTTCTTCTCTCTTCTTCTATCTGCCTGTACCAGGAGCCATGGCTAATCATCTTATAACTAATGCTCTCCTTCGTCCCCATGGTACTAACAATCCTTATAACACTCTCCTGGGGGACTCTGCAGTCTATAACAACCCAGCCGTGGGCATGTACAACACCCAAGGTGTGCCTAATGTTCCTATTCTGATCGTACCGCTTAGCTTGGAGGTGTTTTTTACAATGTATTTTGCATGCTGCCTTTTTTTTCCACTTTGTGATTCAGTATTTTGATGGATCGCACAGTGACATGCAAGCTTAGAATAAATTTTATTTTTGTTACAGATTGATAATTAACCCTTTTATTGTGTTTAAGTTGAATTTATCTGTTTTACATCAGTTAGTTTTTTTAATTAGCCTACCTGTCAAAGCTAAATCTTCATTAAATGTTGAAATATAAAATACATCTTGGTTTCTGACTCAACACTACTAATATCATGGGGGCTTAATCTGGCTTGAGGGGTTATGAATTGACTTAGGCCATAGTATACCTGGTGTATAATCTAGCTTAAGTCCCTTTAAGCCAAGGTATAGTCCAGATTGCAGTGTACTATAGTCTGTTACACCTGGGACACAAAAGTAGGGAGTAAAAAATGAACACTGTAGGAGGGTTAAATATTATTTCTAGTTTGTGTGATTTTTTATTTTGATTTTTTTGTAGTTTGTGGCTCTGCATGCGATAATTGGAGCTTCTGTTGTTTCAGTTATGTAAAAGACTTTATTTACAGCGGGTAAAATAAGTATTGAACACGTCAACATTTTTCTCAGTAAATATATTACTAGAGGTGCTAATGACATGAAATTTTCACCAGATGTTGGTAACAACCCAAGTGATCCATACATACAAAGAAATCAAACCATAAATTCCAGAAATGAAGTTATTTGTAATAATGTGGAATGGCACAGGGAAAAAGTATTGAACACACTTACTGAAATTTATCTAATACTTTGTACAAAAGCCTTTGTTGTCAATGACAGCTTCAAGACGCCTCCTGTATGGAGAAACTAGTGGCATGCATTGCTCAGGTGTGATTTTGGCCCATTTTTCCACACAAACAGTCTTCAAATCTTGAAGGTTTCGTGGACCTCTTCTATGAACTCTGATCTTTAGTTCTTTCCATAGATTTTCTGTTGGATTCAGGTCAGGTGATTGGCTGGGCCATTCCAGCAGCTTTAGTTTCTTTCTCTGAAATCAACTATGCAGCAAACTTTAAAGGAGCTTCAACATGCTGTTTCTTCAGCAGTGGAGTCTTGCGTGGTGAGCATGCATACAGGCCATGGTGGTTCAGTGCATTACTTATTGTTTTCTTTGAAACAAACGTACTTGCTAATTCCAGGTCTTTCTGAAGCTCTCCACAAGTGGTCCTTGGCTCTTGGACAACTCTTCTGATAATTCTTTTCACTCCTCTGTCAGAAATCTTGTGAGGAGCACCTGGTCGTGGTCGGTTTATGGTGAAATAATGTTCTTTCCACTTCTGAATTRTGGCCCCAACAGTGCTCACTGGAACCTTCAGAAGTTTAGACATTCTTCTGTAACCGATGCCATCATTATGCTTTKCAACAATAAGGTTGTGAAGGTCTTGTGAGAGCTCTTTACTTTTACCCATCATCAGATGGTTCTTGTGTGATACCTGGCCTCATTTGGGACTGAACCAGCTGATATTAATTTGCACTGACAAGGGGCAGGCTTGTTTTCTAATTACTGAGAGAGTTCAGCTGGTGTCTTGSCTTTCCATGCCTTTTTACACCTCCCTTTCTTCATGTGTTCAATACTTTTTCCCTGTGCCATTCCACATTATTACAAATAACTTCATTTTTGGTCATTTATGGTTTGATTTCTTTGTATGTATGGATCACTTGGGTTGTTACCGACATATGGTGAAAATTTCATGTCATTAGCACCTCTAGTAATATATTTACTGAGAAAAATGTTGACGTGTTCAATACTAATTTTACCCCTTGTATATTTTTGTATGTTTTATGCAATTTGTGTTTTACCGCTTTTGATCTGTGTTGTATGAAGCAGCACAGTATATAAGTTTATTTTATCATTCATTAGTTTTTTTTTCTCCACGTGTGAACTTACAAGTGTTCCTTTTTTCTGCTTTCTCCCTCCTGCTGTCCATCAGCACCCTACCGAGACACAAGTATGTACCACATTAAAACTTAACTTTCTTTTTTATCTCGCTCGCTCTTTCGCTTTTATGGCTTTCAGACCAAAATGTTTAGTACAAACTGTGCAAAAGCCTTTTTTCCCAAGCCATTTGTCAGTGCCCAGTGTCATTTAATTTGGCACAATTTTAGATTTATTTTTATCTTTTGAATATTTTATCTGTTGGATAGTTTTCAAACTATCATTCATGTGAATTAATGTCTCAGATGTCTTTGTTACAGCTGAGAAGCAATCTACTGAACAGTAAATTATTTGCTGTGTATTTATTTTAAGTGACACTTGAAAACATCTTTTAAAAAGACAGTGAAGATCTAACTTTTTTTTTGGTCTTGTTGATGTGCTAGTTTTAACTAAGGGAAAACTAAGACTTCTAAAGCTTCTCTTTAATGAATAATGAATGCTTGGAGCATTTTTTTCTTTCCTTCCAATAAAATTATCATCTGCTTTCTTAAATCCCCAATTCCCAGCACGCGCTGTGTTATAAAACAATAATTAAAATCCTTCTACGTCGAAAAACCCTTGTGCAGTTTATTTTAGGAATTCTAATAATGGTTTCTTTTTGAATGACTTGTTCCTCAGAGGGCATCCTGAACAACGCCAGAGACTCGAGTGTTATGGACACGCTTCCTCTTAACGGCAACCATGCGAATAACTTCAGCATGGCCAGCAGCGAGTACCTGAGCGACTGCGTTCAGATCTTGGATCGAAGCGGCGGTTACGGCACCCACAGCAACCACAAGGAGACGACCCTGGAGAAGAAGATCCTCAAGGAGCTGACGTCCAACTACATCCCACCTTACCTGAACAACCACGAGAGAGCCACCACTGAGCGCAGTCACAACCTGATGAACAAACTGGTCAACAGCAGTATGGCCAATGGAGGTGACTGTGGATTTATTTTGCATGCATTTTATTGTTTAATAGGGTTTTAGCAAAAAGGAGGTTTCAGTAGGTGATGCTATTTTTTTAACTAGTTTTTTGTTTAAACAGTTCGGAAACTGTTTTTTCCACTGCCAGAAATCCAACTTGAATCCACATTATTGCATCACTTAAAATGTCTCTTCCAGTAAATATTTGATCTAACTCTGTTATCTTCTGTATTTCTTTATAGGACCACAGAGCAAAGATTACAGGTTTTCTGTGCAGCTGTCTTAAAGGGATAGTCTGGTCATTTTTGAAGTTATGTTCTATCAAATATCAATAATTCGTGTGAATACATCAGTCACATAGCAGGAAAAGTGAAAAAAAAATTTTGTCCAGGGTAGACTAATGGTTAGGGGTCACGGTAACTTGGCAGTCAATGCCACAGCCTGGGGGATGTGGCTTCAAGCCAGATGGTTTCAGGAAGATCATCTGGCATAAAACAATTGCCAAATATTTTCTGTGAGTTTCATCGCTGCAATGACCCTTGCACAAGGGAGTAGCTGAAAGAAAAACAACATAAATGGTAGCTTGCACCTGTAAAGTGCTTTATCAAGGACTCCAAAGCGCTTTGCACTACAGTCATTCACTGATGGTGGTAAGCTACACTGAAGCCACAGCTGCCCTGAGGTAGACTGACAGAGGTGAGGCAGCCAAGCACCGGCACCACCAGGCCATCTGACTACCACACTGTCTTGCCCAAGTACACTGAAAAAATAACTTGTAAGATTTACTTGAAAAAAAGCCATGTAACAATTTGCACTAATGCTTTTTAAGTAAATTTAAATGCTAAAAATCCATATAATATTTACTCATCATTATCTAGTAAAAGTTATTAAGAATATAGTTAAATATTTATAAAAAAAATCAGGTTAAGTTTACATAATTTGCTCAATTAAATCTTGTAACATATACT